TAACAGTTGTAGGTGTGCAAGGTGTGGAGACTGCATCTGTCAGAGATGGCTACAAGACTAAGCCTTCTGAGCCTTCTGTGTCCATTTACAAAAATATCTGGTTAGTAAAAAAGGTTGTGATTTTGGTAAATTGTCCTGGGCTATTGTTTGAAGATCTTAAAAACCAGCAGGATCAAAGCCTGCCGAGCCTATGCAATGTATCCTTAACCAGTCTGTGTAGGAATTTACAGCCCAGCATGAGGTGTGACAGTCCCTTGGAGCCACTGAGAGACCCTGCTGCTGCTGCTGCTGCATACCCTAATGGGTAAAGTTCAAGGACGGCCTGACAGCCACCTGGAGGAACTCCTGCCTGATTCCATCACCTGAGTCTGCTTCCTGGTTGACTGCTGCTAAATCTAAGATCTTGTGGGACATTCTTTTGGGTGATATCCAGAAACCCTCTCTTTCCACAGTGGATATTGGGGACAAAGATATCACTGGCTTGCTTGTCTTACGCACTTCAGTGCATAGTGGCTGGAAATCCACTCTATGGTCACAGCCTAGTTTGGCTCTGGTATGGTAATAACCTGAGTGTGTTATCAATGGAGGTAATACTCTTAGCCTTAAAATCTAGCAAGCTTCTGCATCACAGTGGTGCCTTAAGGCTGTTCTAAGCCGCAAGCCAAAGGGAAATTGGGCAGTTTTAAACTCTAGCCACAAAGATGCTCAAGGAATTGTAAAGAAAGAAGGTAGTAAAGAAAGCCTTGGGAAGGGAATTGGGGAAATTTGAAAAGTAAGGATTGTCTTTAAGACAAACCTCAGAAAGTTTAAGTACGTAGCAGATGGTATGAGTATGTCTTAAAATTGGAGCTTACAAGTAAAGCTGGTATAAAATTAAGTTAACTGTGGTACACGGAGTCAGGACTGGTGGAAAAAAAATGTAAGGGGCCCTGGTACTGTTAATTTTGTTACAATCGGACCTTGTATACTCAACAGATTGTGTCTTTTGTAAAAGACCAAGATCAGCGCAGTCCGCCTATTAGTTCTGAGATCCAAATACCAAGCATTGAGAACAACTGACACCCCACAAGATAATAAAGAGACACCCTGAATTTTAAGATTAAAATTAGTCCAAAGAAAAAGGAGGGAATGAAAGATTAAAAATTAGAATTACATTTTACAATTGCTAACTGCTGATTTCGCTTTTGTAAACTTGCTCGCCCTAGCACTAATCCCCCTCCCTTCTGGAAATAAGGAATTGAGTAAAAAGTCTAGGAGCCCAGATGCCGGCCCCGGGACAAGGTCTGTGGTCATAGATAAAGAACAAACAAGTAAATTCCCCAAGTGGCCAAATGGGACCCAAGAATGGGTCCCAAGAATGGGACCTAAGATAAGAACCCAAGATAAGGACCACCTGGCAAGTCCAGCAAACTAGGCCAAATGTTAATCAATCACAAGCCTGTTACTATGTGAACTCCCCTAACTCTTACCTCCCAGAGTGACTACCTCCTTTAAATCACCCGCGCCAATCGTTTTTACAAAGAGTGATATAAACTTCCCCGCATAGTAAAAATGATTGCTGGAGTACATAGTGACTTTTAAACGGGCCAATCCCGGGGACACCTGGTGTTATATGCTAATCTTGTGGATTTTGCCTTTAAGAATGCCTGTAACCGCTGCTCAGGGCTCTCTCCCTTGCTGGGGCAGAGAGACCGTTTGCACAAACGTCAAATAAACCCCTCTTGCTTATTGCATCTCCTGGCCTGGAGTCTGAGTTTCTGGGGCGCCCTCCCATTGACGAAAGTATCCCAGGAGTCTGGGGTCTTTCAGCACCACAAATAAAAGTGATATGGGTCATCTATGAAAAAATAATGGCTTCTTTCTTAACATGTATCATTTTTATTGTAGAAACTTTTCATTCCCTGCGTTGGCTTTACTCTAGGTATTTAATTTTTGAGGCTATTGCAAGAGCAACACTTTTCTTTCTGTCCCTCATTGTTATTGGTAAATGGAGAAACAACTGATTTTTCCTCCTTTTTTTTTTTTTTTGTTGTTGGTTTTGGGGCTTAAGCTCAAGGTCCCTATTCCTCAAGGCTACTGCTGTACCACTTTGAGGCACAGTTCCTCTTCCAGTCTTTCTGGTGAATAATTGCAGATAAGAGCCTTACAGACTGTCTTACCCAGGCTGGCTTTGAATTTCAATAGTAGCCACCTGAGTAGCTAGGATAACAGGCTTGAACCACTAGCTCCTGGCAACAACTGGTTTTTGTATGTTGATTTTCTTTGCTGCTAAAGACACAGAAGTGTTTATCAAATATAAACATGTTGGTAGACTTTTCAGGGTTCCTTTTAGTACAGGATTGTACCATCTGTAAATATGGATAATTTGATTTGTTCTTTTCCTATTTATATACATTTTTATTTCTTGCTCATTTTATTATTCTGGCTAGGAATTCAAGCACCACATTGAATAAGAGTGGATAGCTTTAACTGATTCTTGACTTTACAGGGAATGCCTTTAATTTTTTCCTTCCTAGTACAATGTTGCCTATCAGTTTAACATATAGTCTCTATTATGTAAAGATAGGCTCTTAAATATCTCATTTAAGTATTTAAATACGTTATTAAAAAAAGTTTTTACACTTAAGAAGCTTTCATTTTGTCCCTACAATGCATGTCACTAGTTCAGAAAATCCTCTCTGCAAACAAAACAGGTTTTGTTTTGTATTTTTTAGGTATTATGTAGGCCAGGATGTCTTAAACTTGAGACAGTACCTCACTACAGTGGGGATGGAGCTCAATGCTGTGATTTGAATAGGCTGTGAGGCCAGGGGTAACAGCACCAATTCCCAAAGTTGCTAAAATCATGCGCAGGGTCTGCTGTGTTTCTGTAGAGAGGAAGACACATCAGAGGCAGGAACGCCTGACTAGAGAAATCTGTCTACCCCAAACAATTATGAGAAGTTCTATTGGAGGGATTTTCAGGCAGGAGACATGTGGTAAACTGCAAGGGCCTCACAGACACTGTGGGATGGATGAGCAGACTCTAGAATGTTTGGGCTTAAGCACTAGAATGGAAAGCATTTGCTTCATTTCTCCCTGCCCATTTGAGTTTTATTAGTCATGGCAGTTGTAGAGAAAGTCAGGAAATGCTCATTTTGATTGTTGTACCTAATACTTTCAGGGCACCTTCTGCAGGATCTTGAAGGAGTTCATGGATAAAATCTGAGGAGTTAATGACTCCTGACTCAGACATGTAGAACTAAGAACAGGGGAATAAATTCTTGACACAGGGCAGGTATTCTACCAACAAGAGAACTGGATTCATTTGGGAGTGAACTTTATGAAGAAATGCAGGATCTAGATAACAAGACAGGATTAAAAAATCTTAACATTAGGACTCCTATGTGAAAGTCAGTAATATGTTGGGAACCACTGACAGAGAAAACGGAAAAAGGTATTTTGAAACCTACTTAAAAAAATCTAAAATATGATTTGAAAATAATGTACTTCCAGAAGACAGCAGACTGGCAGCAGGATATAGAAGGGGGTCTACAAGTCTAGCAGCCTTCAAATACATTCCTGCCCTGGGAACATGGTGAAGGAGGGGACCACTGAAATTCCCACAATCATCACTAAAGCCCGTCAACTAATTTACTAAAATCTACTAGAGTGGCTTCTTCATATATTTCCTAGTTAGATATAGATTATAAAACAAAAACTGGAATAGAGTGAGGGAAGGGATGACAAAAAGAAATGTCCTCTCTACCTGACTTATGCAATGATAACCCTTCTGAACATCACCTTTATAACAAAAATTTGTTTGTTTTTTTTTTTGAGGGGGTGGGGTCTGGTCATGGGGCCTGAACTCTGGGCCTGGGCGCTGTCCTTCAGCTCTTCAGCTCAAGGCTAGCACTCTACCACTTGAGCCACAGTGCCACTTCCAGCTTTTTTCTTTTTGCTTATGTGGTGCTGAGGAATCAAACCCAGGACCTCATGCAGGCAAGGCAAGCGCTCTACCACTGAGCCACTTTCCCAGCCCTATAACAAAAATTTTTAAAAACATACTTAGGTTAGATTTGTGCCATCCACTTATTGTATTCTTTGTCTCTTCTTGAAGGCAAGGGTATTTTGATTTTTGGTTTTATTTTTCCAAATTTCATCCCAGTCGCCTGGTGTTCCTGGCTCATGCCTGTAATCCTAGCTACACAGGAGGCTGTGAGATCTGAGGATGGCAGTTCAAAGCCAGTTTGGGTAGGAAAATCCATTAGACTATTATCTCCAGTTAACCACCAGAAAACTGAAAGTGATGCTATAGCTCAAAGCAGTAGAGTGGTAGTCTTGAGCCAGAGTTCAGAGACAGCAACCAGGCCCTGAATTCAAGCTCCATGAATGAACCCTGCCCCCCGCCCCCCCCCCCAAAAAAACAAAAGCAAAAACAGAAAACCTTCATTCAAGTCAATGAGCTTCTTTTTAAAAGCTGTTGCATGTAGAGTGTAACAGATGAGAGAATGACCAAGATAAAGACTTGATAAACTGGAAAAAAAATACCAGGGAGCAGATTGTGTATTTTTCTGGGGATACAATTTCAAGATCTTTGATAGCACAATGCATACAATTAGCTTTAAAGAAATTGTTAGGTATCATAGGCATTGATGTTCAGATTTGATAAGAACAGCCTTGGATTTATAGCACTCTTTAAGAACAGTAAGAGCCTAAGTCTTGCCAACAACTGCTATAGGGACACCTTCTAAGCCTTCACATTAATTTCATGGGATCCATGGGTTTTTCATGGTGTTGCCATTCTTTTGTTCCAGATGAGTTAACCAAGGAAATTTCTGGAAGATAGGAGACATTACTTTCTTTCTCCCAAAGTCTTTTCTTACCTGGGGACAAAAAGGTGCTGACCAGAATCGAAAGTCCTGTCAGGAACATGAATAGTATCTGACTTTGTTTTCAGCCCAGATAATTCAATACCAAGAAGGCAAAGAATCTGCTGATGAGTGTGACAAGGCCAAAGAGAATCTGGAACAGGAAGATGTTGCTCCCCAGGTGCTGCAGGTTGAGTATCAGGCCGAAGAAGGCTATGACTAGTGCCATTCTGAAGTTAAAAGAATAAAAACACATTTAAAACGATAGAGCAAATTAATTTAAGATACAAAGGAAAAAAAGATGAGTGAATTCCTTGCTTTCCCTGGGGAAATAGCACAAGGTTCCCTGTAGGTGCACACAAATGTATCATTGGAAATTAGATTTAGGTTCAAATCTTAGCGAATCATACTTTCTGGCCTGTGCCGAATTTTAATAATAGTTCTTCATGAACTTCAAATTACTATGTTTCTTCATCATTACTGATGAGATGAAGAAATAAGATTAATCTCTTAAGTGACTTGCTCTGTATCTCAGCACTGGTATGGAACCAGGGAGCTCAACAGGACTGATTCCCAACTTTTCCTCTTCCACTCAACCTCTGTAATGTCCATTCTAAGTACTGTATGCTTTTTGTCAAGATATGAGATATTTAACAAATTTGGTCATTGATGTCTTCAACATACATGTATTCAAAATGTATACACCATTAAAAATATATCATATCTTAGATATAAGGTATATGTTATATATTATCTATAACATATATTACATATATCGTATATATTTAAAATATATCTTGGAAATAATAAATATGTATAACTGAGTTTCAAGTTAAACACAAACAATGGAATCATGTGCATTTTCACAAGCAGCCAGAGTGTTTTGTTTGTTTTTTGTTTGTTTGCCAGTCCTGGGGCTTGAACAATGGCCTAAGCACTGTCTCTGAGCTTTTGTGCTCAAGGTTATTATTCTACCACTTGAGCCACAGTGCCACTCTGGCTTTTTCTGAGATTATTGGAGATAAGAGGTTTATAGACTTTCTGGTGGGGCTCTCTCAAACAATGACTGTCAGATCTCAGCCTCCTGAGTAGGTAGGTTCACAGGCACGAGCCACTGATGCCAGGTCGTGTGCACTTTTCATTTAATTTAATCAATGCAAAATGCATCATACTGGTTAGTGTCTGATGCCAGAACTCCGATGGGCCTTAGGAAAGTGAATCCAAGCCAAAAAATTGTTTCAGTAAATCTTTCCAATGCTTTCTCTCTAATAATAGAAATTCATGGTCTTTTAGATTTTCTCTTGTTTTCTTTCCCTGCTCCAAGTATCTCAATGCCACTATAATATAACAAAGAGAACAGAGTGGTTTATTTCTATACAAGGATTGTGATTACTTGCTCTAAAATGATATACTCACTTGCAATTAAAATAAACACATTTAAAAATACTTAGTGTTTAAGAAGCATTGACTGGGATTTTTTCCTTGCATGCTGTGCTAAAATTCATGACAATATTGGCCTAGGGAACTTTTAGTTGCTCAATGTACAGATGGAAACCTAGTGTCACACACCAATTAATAGCATCTCTGGGCAATAGACTGTTGGAGAGCACTCTCCTTTGTTATTTAAAAATTTTTAAATTGTTGTTACAATGATGATGTACAGAGGTGTTAGAATTACATAAGTCAGGGAAAGAGTTTATTTCTGTTGCTCTCGTTTGGAGAGTGGGAAGTCACTAAAATTTCAATAATCAACAGACAAACCATATCAAAATAGAGATATGGGAAATCCTGGTGGGGAACCAGCGGCCTCTCTGTCCTGCTTCAGTAGGACAAAGAAATCAGGGTGGGTCAATGAACTCCCTGAAGGTACTAAGTTCGAGTGTAGCCAAGGTGAGAACACAGTTATTCATTGAACAGAAGGATTCAAGATCCAAGGATCAGCAGATTAGAAGCTCCCTGTGTGCAAGGGGAAAAGCAACATGCTAAGGAAAGAAAGAGAAGAAGAGCATTAGGAATCATGAAAAAGGAAAGGACAGCTGAACACCTGGAAGTGCAGAAAGGCTATGGAGAGAAAAGAAGAAAGCATCCATAGGTGTGAGAGGTTATGCCAAAGCCATTACCACAAGGGCTGCCAGGCAAGTTGGGGGACCACAGAGTAGACATCCTGGACATGGGGACAAACATGAAACCCAGTGTGGATGTGGGATTTGGTGTGATAGTGACTCTTGTTGGGCAGTCTAGAACTGGAGCACAAAGGAATTCTGTCACTCTCCATAGATCAGAGTGTACATATATTGGGTGAGTGTCAGTGACTCATGCCTGTAATCCTAGCTCCTTAAGAGGCTGAGATCTGAGGTTTAAGTTTCAAAGCCAGCCTATGCAGAAAAGTTTGTGAGACACTCACCTCCAAATAATCAGCCAAACCAGAGTGGAACTGTGACTCACTGGTAAATTATTAGCCTTGAGCAAACAAGCTAAGGGACCATTGCCCAGGCCCCAATTTCCAGCCCTAGGATCAGCGAACACACACCAACATATACATAGAGCATTTTTTTCATTCATGTGAAATTCAAGAACTGGCAAAAAGTTTAAAAAACAAACAAAATCTCAGAAAGAGAACGATAAGTATGGTTGCTATTTTTCTTTTTCTTTTTTTTTTTTTTGGGTCCGGTTGTGGGGCCTGAACTCTGGGCCTGGGCGCTCTTCAGCTCAAGGCTAGCACTCTACCACTTGAGCCACAGCGCCACTTCCGGCTTTTTCTTTTTGCTTATGTGGTGCTGAGGAATCGAACCCAGGGCCTCATGGATGCAAGGCAAGCACTCTACCACTGAGCCACCTTCCCAGCCCTGGTTGCTATTTTTCTTAATGGGGGAAAGGTAGAAGAGAAAGGATTCAGGGACTCAAAATGTGCTTGTTTGGTTGACTAATACATGGGCCTATCAATTCATAAAATGGATCTAGATGAACACAGAATTTGTGCCTTTTTCTTTTTTGAAAGTAATGGTGTTTTAGCTCATGTCTGGGAGCATGGACTTTATCACTTGAGTCACTTCCCATATGGTTTTTGCTTTTGTTATTTTCCAAATTCAGTCTTCCTTTTTTCCTGGGCCAGCCAGGAACCAAATCTGCCTATTTATGCCCCTGCATAGTTGTGATGACATCACCCCTTTTCATTGGTTGAGATGCGGTCTTGTGAACTTTTTGCCTGCGCTGGCCTTGAACTGTGATCCTCCCAACCTCAGCCCTTAGAACACTTAGAATCATGTTGTGAGCCTCTGTGCCTGGCTGCAATTTTCTTTATGTAAGTTCTATTTCAATAAAAACTGCAAAGATAAAATGTTCACATACTCCATATGCTAATATGCAGTGCTGAACTTCATTCTGGAATGTGATTTTCATTTTTTCTTTTTTTTGTCGGTCATGGGGCTTGAACTCTGGGCCTGGGTGTTGTCCTCAGCTCTTCAACTCAAGGCTAGTGCTGTACCACTTGAGCCACAACACCACTTCTGGTTTTCTGGTGATTAATTGGAGATAAGAATCTCACGACTTTCCCACCCTGGGCTGGCTTTGAACCACATCCTCAGATCTCAGCCTCCTGAGTAGCTAGGATTACAGGTGTGAGCCATCAGTGCCAGCTCTGATTTTCATGTTTTCTGTAGTTCAGTCTCACTGAGAGGTCTCATAAGGGAACCTTAAAAAACAAGGTGGTAATTGAACATAAGCCTTTTAACATCATTTTTCTTCTCTTATGTATTGATCTATTGTATATAATGCTACCACTGTTTTATTTTGTTTTGTTTTTTTTGTTTTTGATAGTCCTGGGGCTTGAACTCAGGACCTGAGCCTCTTGGTGCTCAAGGCACTCTACTGCTGGAGTCACAGCGCCACTTCTAGTATTTTCTTTTTCTTTTTTAAATTAGTTTATTTTATTGTAAAGGTGATATACAGAGGGTTTACATTTATGTAAGTAATGTAGTGAGTACATTCCTTTTTTTTTTAATTGTGAAAATACCGTACAGAGGGGTTACAATTACATGAGCAAGATAATGAGTACATTTCTTATCAAGTATTGTTGCCTCCTTTGTTTCCCCTTCCCATCCCTTCCCATCTTTCCCCACCCCCCCCCCCCCCTTGCCCTTTCTGGTATTTTCTAAGTTATTTAATGGAGATAAGTGTCTCATGGACTTTCCTACTCTGGGCTGGCTTTGAACTGTGATCCTCAGGTTTCAGCCTCTTGGATAGCTAGGATTACAGGTATGAGCCACCAGTACCTGGCCTGCTGTTGCTATTGATTTTGAAAGAATAAATGTAGTTCCTCTCTAATAAGATATTGGAGGTAGAATATATTGATAAATTTATTTAAAGGAACATACTTGATAAAACTCAGGCAGCAGTTTCTCATATGCAGCCTGGGTGTGTGGAACAACTGAAAAATGGATATTTTTGCCTTGGCGTCCTCAAACTCCTCCTGCAGGTTGGATTTCACAACCTTGGACAACAAAAGTCATAAGCACTCATGAGATGCCAATCATGTGCCAATTATATTGCTAAATACTAGAAGATGAAACACATATGGTGTGTTGTATCCTCAAGGAAAACTACAGCGCAGGGACATGGGCATTAAATCCGTCTCACGTGGGAAGAACCACAAAAGATGCAGGAAGAGGGAAACTCAGGGGAATAAGATAGGATTAAAGCCTGTTTAAACACTTGACAAAATGACAGGAGTGTGGAGATTAAGGTGTATGTGTGTGTGTGCGTGCGCGTGTCTGCGTCTGTGTGTGTATGCGCGCGCACACACATGCACACAGATCTCCACACGCACCCTGATCCTGTGGCTTGAATGCAGGGCCTGGGTGCTGTCCCTGAGCATCTTTTGCTCAAGGCTAGCACTCTACCACTTGACCACAGCGTTACTTCTGGCTTCTTCTGAGTCATATTTTGGAGATAAGAGCCTTACAGACTTTCTAGCTCAGGCTTGCTTTGAATATTGATCCTCAGATTTTAGCTACAACTCTGAGAAAAGATAGACACATTTTTAAATTTGGTTCCTCTTTGCCAACACAATAATTAGACTGTGGGGGAACCAAGACAGTGATATGAAAGTCTCACTTAGAAGACAGGTGCTCAGGAGGCTGAGAACAGAAGATCCCAGTTCGATGTCAGCCGTGGCAGGAGAGTTCCCAATACCCTATCTCTAATCAAACAGCAGAAAACTGGAAGTAGCACTGTGACTCAAAGTGAGAGAGTGCTAGCCTTGATGGAAAAAGCTCAGGGCCAGCTCCCAGCCCCATGACTGAGTAAAAAAACAAAAAACAAAAACAAATATCTTCTCACTTAGAAAATTCTAATTTGAGATATGCCTAAACGACCCAGACTAGTAGGATTGTGAGGTCAAATCATCCATTCCCAGTAATCAGGCCCCTTCTCAGATCACCTCAGTGGTCAGGGTCTTCCCAGAATTCTTCTTTCCATTTATACATGCAACTCTTTTAAGTTCCTCTAAGCCCTTTTCTAGCTGATTGCTAAAAACCAGCCACCGAGCAGACTCTACCAGCATCCTGAAAAAGAAGACAACACAGCTACAGTAAACATCTAACTGCTTATTTTACACATAACTTTAATCTGAAATATCTTTTCGTCTCCATTTCATATAGACTTTGTACATCATAGTAGAGTCATTTCTGATTAAATCTGCCTTCCCTGGTGGACTTACAGGGAGGTATCTAAGTGTTTGTTGAAAGTAATTATAGATAACAAGGAGGAATGAACAAATAGTCTGAGTATCCATTGATATTCCAGTGGTTAATATCCCTAAATGATCTATATGCCATATAATTAATCTCTGTAGAGGGTTTTTTCAGTGATTTTTTTTTTTTTGGGTCCAGTCGTGGGGCTTGAACTCGGCCTGGGCACTGTCCTTCAGCTCTTCAGCTCAAGGCTAGCGCTCTACCACTTGAGCCACAGCACCACTTCCGGCTATTTTCTTATGTGGTGCTGAGGAATCGAACCCAGGGCCTCAGGCATGCAAGGCAAGCGCTGTACCACTGAGCCACCTTCCCAGCCCCTTTTCAGTGATTTTATACACAATAAAATTCTACACACTGGAAACTGGTGCTCAGACTTCTAATTATAGCTACTCAGGAAGCTGAGATCTGAGGATCACAGTTTGAAGCCAGTCTGGGCAGCAAAGTCCATAAAAATTTTATTCCACAGAATGATCAAAAACCAGAAGGAGGGGCTGGGAAGGTGGCTCAGAGGTAGAGTGCTTGCCTTGCATGCATGAGGCCCTGGGTTCGATTCCTCAGCACCACATAAGCAAAAAGAAAAAAAAGAAAAAAAAACCAGAAGGAAGGTTGTTGGCTCAAGTCCTAGAGTTTGCTCATTTTATCACTTTTGTTCAAAACTTAAAAAGTACAAAGCATTAAGGATTGAAGAAGATAACAAAAGATGGAAAGGCTTCTTATGTTTATATACTACTGAAACTTTCTACTGATTCAGTGCAGCCCCCATCAAAATTCAAAAGGCAGTGTTAAAACTGATAGAGAAGTGCAACAGATTCTGCCGAATCAAAGCATTCCTGGACAAAAAAAGCAATGCTGGAGGTATCACAATATTTGGCTTCAAATTGTGTTACAAAGCCAGAGTAATGAATCATCATGGTACTGGAAGAAAAAAAAAGATATGTATTCCAATGGAATAGAATATAAGCCCTAGAAATAATCCACAGAGTGGCATATTATTACTCAAAAAGAAGAACAAAATTATGTTGTTTATAGCAAAATGGATGGAACTGGAAATCATTGTGTTAACTAAAAAAAGTCAAACTCTGAAAGACATATATCATATGCTCTTATCTGCAAATCTGGATCTAAATATATATTCTTACATAATATTACACATATAAGTCATGAATGTAAAAGGGGCCCATTTGTAGGGGAGCCATAGGGACAAGAGAGTCAGTTAATGTGGGTGGAATGTAAATATAACTTCATTCTGTGAAAAATGGTACAGCTAAGCCTGTTAAACCATTTAAAATCATTTTTTAAACAAGGAGGGGAAGATGGCATAAGAAAGGCCAAGAGAAGATGTGAATATGTTCAAAGTACTTTATTTACATGTGTGGAAATAACACCATGAAACCTCTCTTATTCCAAGCAACGTATGCTTAATAAAAGATTCCAAAATAATTTTGTGGCTAAGATAGAAACGTGCTAACTCCACAGCTGCAGTGTTCCATTTTCCTTTGTCCTCATTGCACAATGGTTACTATGGGTGAGTGTGACTTAGGATTGTCCAGAGATTACACAGATCCCAAGTGTCAGAACCTCCTTTATGTCCCACTTTCCCCTTTCATTAGGGTTAAAGGCCATGTAGTTTGTCCATACCTTGAGAACATGCAGTAGACCAACAGAGATATGGATAATATCAGCTGCAGTGTGATCCAGCTGTGAAAGTAAAAAGCCAGTCCTCCCAGGAGCATCTGCCCAGTACTGTAGGAAGTGAACATTGCTACCATAGCTTGGGATTGAGGTCTTCTCCACTCTAAAACTGGAAGAAAACACAGTTGTAATTATAGTTTTATAGTTGTAATTATTTTTTCTTTCTTCTTTTGGAGGGGAGGGGGTTCGGTCGTGGGGCCTGAACTCTGGGCCTGGGCGCTGTCCCTCAGCTCTTCAGCTCGAGGCTAGCACTCTACCACTTGAGCCACAGAGCCACTTCCAGCTTTTTTCTTTTTGCTAATGTGGTCATGCATGCAAGGCAAGCGCTCTACCACTGAGCCACCTTCCTAGCCCCTTTTCTTTCTTTTTTGTTTCTGTTTTTTTTTCCCCTCATGGGTCTTGAACTCTGGACCTGGGTGCTATCCCTCAGCTCTTCAGCTTAAGGCTAATGCTCTAACACTTCAGCCACTGTGCCACTTACATTTTTCTGCTGGTTTATTGGAGATAAGAGTCTCATGGACTTTTCTGCCCAGGCTGGCTTTGAACTGCGATCCTCAGATCTCAGCCTCCTGAGTAGCTAGGATTACAGGCGTGAGCCACCAGCACCTGGCTATAATTATTGTTTCTAAAGAATGTTTTCAAGGTCAGTTCAAGTCATGAAGGAAGTCAAAGAATCAAATGACTGACTTACTAAAAACAAAAGGGCTTCCCAACACAGGCATGGCAGATAACCCAGCTAAGAATCACAGGGAAGAGTAAATAAAGAAGGTGGGAGCAAAAGCTACACAGGTGTCACTGATGGCCATTTAGAGTAAACCCCACCTGAAGACGGTTTTCCGCCCAAACCTAAGAAATACTGGACTATGTGAGATTATTCAAGAACAAAAACAATCTCACTAAAAATACCCAAAGGTAGTATATTATATAACTTAAGATAGATATTGAATCCATCTTCTATAAATATTAAGTATTATCAATTTGAAATACATATTCTTTAAATATTAAATATTAACCAATGTTACATATTTATTATTTCAACATTATACTTGAGATTTGTTGGAATTTTTATATTAGCCAACAGCTGAAATGGAAGAAGCCTAGGAATTTGCCAATGAATGTGATGTCCACAGTCTCTCAGTGAGGACACGCAAGGTCACCATAAGGACTCTGGTGTCATGTCAAGCCATATAAAAAAGGTGACATATGAGACTTTGTCAGAAGTGTTCACTAGGAGACACACATATTTGGGATGACCGTTTGTGTGTTGTGCTTAGAGTCCTGAGAAGTGAGACAGAATGGGAAGACAATCCATCAAAGTTTCAGATAGATCATCTAACAGCCTCTCTCAGCTGTGTCTGGCTTCTTGTGCCTTAGAAAGCTGTTTCATCTTGAACAGTAAACAACTCAGAAACCTCCTCTCCCTTTAGGAGTGGATGGAAAGTTCACAGAAGAGAGAATAAGAAGATTTAAACCAACTAAATAGACCCATATCAAGCAATGAAAAAGAAATGGCAATAAGAGACCTCCCATACAAGAAAAGCCCAGGACCAGATGGATTCACAGTTGAATTCTATAAGGCCTTCAAAGCAGAACTCACACTAATATTCCTCAATCTCTTCAATGAAATTGAAAGCAAACATTCACTACTAAACTCATTTTATGAAGCCAGCATAACTCTCAATCCGAAACCAGACAGGTACTCATCAAAAAAAGAGAACTATAGACCCATTTCATTGATGAAAATCAGTGCAAACTTCTCAACAAAATTCTGGCAACTTCAACAATTCATAAAAAAACATACACTATGATCAAATAGGATTCATCCCAGGGATGCAAAACTGGTTCAATATACATAAGTAATATACATAATTCAATATACATACAATAGGAATAAGGACAAGAACCACATGGCCCTGTCAATAGATACAGGAACCTCAAAAAAACCCCAAACTTCCAGAAATCAACAATGCATTAATAAATGTGCAAATGAACTGATCAGAGACTTCTCAAAAAGAGTACAAATTAGCAAGGCTCTGGTGGCTCCCCTTTGTAGTCCCACCTCCTCAGGACACTAATATATGAGTATCATGGTTCAAAGTCAGCAAGGTCAGAAAAGTACAGGAGATTCTTAAATCCAATTAACCCCCTGAAAAAGGAAGTGGCACTGTGGCTCAAAATAGTAAAGTGCTACCCATGAGCAGAACTCAGGGATAGCACCTAGGCCCTGAATTTAAGGTTCATTATTGACCACAAAAAGGGGGGGAAGAGGGCTGGGTAGGTGGTTCAGTGGTAGGGCGCTTGCCTTGCATGTATGAGGCCCTGGGTTCGATTCCTCAGCACCACATAAGCAGGAAAAAAAAAAGCTGGGTGTGGTGCTGTGGCTCAAGTGGTAGAGCACTAGCCTTCAGCTGAAGAGCTTGAGGGACAGCGCCCAGGCCCAGAGTTCAGGCCCACAACCGGAACCAAACCAAACCAAAACAAAACAAAAAAAAGGGAGGGGGGAAGAACTACAAATGACCAATCAATACATGAAGAAACACTGGTTATCTCTGGTGACAAAGAAATGGTCATTGAAACAACACTGGAATTCACCTCATTCCAGGCAGAATGGCCACCATCAAGAACATAAGCAAGGATGTGAGGGTGATCTGGCTGCGACATCTGTCACCCCATTGATCGCCAGGGTTGATTCGGCTGATCTGGCTGGCTAGGCGGGTGTCCCCTTCCTCCCTCACCGCTCCATGTGCGTCCCTCCTGAAGCTGTGCACTCGATTGAAGAGGACAACTATCCCTGATAGAGGAGGACCGGTCTTCAGTCAAGGGTATATGAGTAGCTGCGCTCCCCTGCTAGAACCTCCAAACAAGCTCTCAAGAACATAAGCAAGTAATGGAGGCAAGGATTTTGGGGGGGGGGGGGAACACAATCTTCTTTATACACTGCTTTTGGACAATAAACAAATGTGAGCACTGGAGAAATCAGTATACATGTTCCTTAACAAGCTACAAAAAAAAAAACAAACCACAACTACCGTGGAATCTAATGATACCACTCTCAAAAGAATGTGTGTCAGATTATTATAGAGGCCCCTATATACTCATATTCATGGAGGGTCAAGCTATCAATACTACACAGAGGCCATGAATGGATCAAGAAAATGTGTGTATCATGAATGTTATTCAGCCATAAAGAAGAATGAAATTACATCACTTGATAGAAATTGATGGAACTGGAGATCGTCATATGAACTGAAGTAAGTCAGGTTTAGAACTACCAAGCTCACTTGTTTTCTCTCATATGTGCACACTAGACCTAAAATAAACATATATATGTAAACACATATAAGATAATACATGTTATAATATTTATGAATTTATATGAATTATATAAGTATAATATGTTATATAATACAGTAGTATAGTTTATAATGTTATCTAATAATATATACTATAAAGCATACAATATAATAAATATAATTTGATTAAACAATGGTTATGGATATGTAAAATTCCATGGTAAAGCCCTTTTAACAATTAGCATGCATTTCAATAAACATGTAGGAAGATAGAACATGTCAGGCTTGGGTGTGGGCTCTTGAAGGAAGAAAGTGAACAGAGGTTAAAAAATGGTGAATACGATCAAAATACTTTCTATACAGGCATAGAATAGAACAATAATATAGTTCGTTGCAATTGATTTATGAAGGGGAACAAGAAGGACAGAGAATGACACATGGAGTTATTCTGTATAGAGATGTTACTAAGAGGCTAATAGGAGATGTAAGAATACATAAAAAAGGAGATAGAGGCAAGATGGCAGATCGCTGACAGGAAAGTCAGTGTCTCTCCTCACTGACAGAAGGTCCAGAGCTCAAGTAGGAGAAGCAAGCTCAAGTAGGGACACCACGCATAGTGCACTAGAATTAAATACTATGGAATCTTAAGCCTGTGAAATTGAGGTGGGGTAGTGGGGGAGAGAAAACCTGACTTAAAGGAACCCAAGAACCCTGTGGCAGGGGTTCAGGCCTGTATTCCTAGAAGCTCAGGAGGCTACGCCAGCACAGCCTCTATGAAAGTCTATGAGATTCTCATCTCCAATGTGGGAGAGTAAGTGTGACTCAAGTAGTAGAATGCCTGCCTTGAGAGAGAAAAACTAAGAGAAGGGACGGTGCCCTTCCCATGAACTCTGTCAAGTCCCAGTACTGGCAGACACATGCATGCACTCCCCCACCCCTCCCACCCCAAACAGAAAAATAAAAGCCAGTCTCAGAAAGACAAATATCACATGCTTGGTTCTCCTTCCTTCCCTCCCTCCTTTCCTCCTCTTCCCTTCTTTTCACACCCTTTCCTTCCTTTCCTTTCTTGACAACATTGGGCTTGAACTCAGAGACTGATTAATTTCCGTTAGCTTTTTGCTCAAAGCTAGCACCCTATCATTTGAGCCACAGCTTCACACCAGCTTTTTACAGGTTCATTGGAGGTAAGTGTCTATGGACTTTCCTTCCTAGGCTGGGGTACAACTTTGATCCTCAGATCTCAGTCTCCTGAGTAGCTAGGAGTATGAGTCACCATACCTGGCTTTCAATGTCTTTCTTTTAGGTTTTATAGCTTTCATTGTAGAGGCCTTTAACTTCTTTGGTCAAGTTTAATCCTAAATATTTTAGTTTGAGAAAGCCATTGAGAATGAAATTGTTATCTTGACTTTTTCTTAGACTGTTTGTTGCTGTTATATTGAAAAGATACTCGTTTTTTGTATGTTGATTATGTAAACATCAGTTCATCAGATCCCACTATTGTCTAAGTTTGTACAATACAAATTAAAATTTCTCTAAATGTCTTCTAAAAGATACTTTTCTGCGGAGTGCTGGGCTACTAGATAAAGCACAAAGTTAGAGCTCAGCTGAGATTTCTTAACTACAGAAAAGACTATACCATCTGATCAACATCCACAGAGAAAGTGAAATGACACCTACCTGTCTGAAAGATGGCCAAATATCAGACCTCCCAGCAGTGACCCAATCATAAATACTACTTGAACTATAGATTTGGATGACTGGTACTCACATACTAGGTCCCACTGGAAGAGAAAGGAAGAGAGAGCGGTGTCAGGAGAGTTGAAGCCTTCAGAAACAGACTGTAAGCGCCTTCCTGTGAGGGAAAATGTGCTGTGGTATGTGGATCCTGCTTCCTGTCCATTTCCTCTGCAGCCACTCTCCTCTGCCAGTCCACACACCTACAAATACTCAGCTCCTTTCAACTCTTCAGGTTCTGTCTCTGTCTTCAAAGTTTCCATGGCCTTATCTCTCTATTCTCCTCAGATGACCAACTCCATCTGTTGCATGCATTAGCTTCTACACACACATTCTGTGTGTGTGTTTGTGTGTGTGTGTGTGTCCATCCTGGAACTTGAACTCAGGGTGGGGCCTGGGTGCTGTCCCTGAGTTTTTGGTTCTCTTTTTCTCAAGTCTACTGCTTTACCACTTGAGCCGCACACTTTTCTGCTTTTCCTTTGGAATTTCCTGCCCTAGCAGGTTTTGAACCAGGATGCACAGATCTCAAAATCCTGTGTAGATAGTATTACAGGCATAAGCCACCAGCACCTAGATCTATACATTCTTTTGTAGAATTTTATTTCCTCAGTATTTATTTATTTATTTATGTGGTATGTATGTATGTATGTATCTACGTGTATATTTATTTTGTTAGATGTGTGGGGCCAGGGAGCTCTCCCAGACCTCTTTTCCTCCATGCTAGCACTCTACTACTTTGAGCCACAATACCACTTCTGGTCTTCTGGTTATGAAATGAAGATAAGAGTCTCACAGACGTTCCTGCTAGGGCTGGATTCCAACCATGATCCTCAGATCTAATAAGCCTTCTGAGTAGCTAGGATTACAGTTTTGAGCCATGAGCATAATATTCTTTAGCTACCATAACTTATAGCATAGAAAGGAGTATTTTAAAGAAAATTTACTTACTATAATGGAGAGTACATGACAAAAACTTTTTTTCTAGGAAAAAAGGTTTCCTTTATAGTGTGACTAATAGAAAGTCTCTTTGACTTCTCTTGCAACTCAATAATTCAACTGACACAGTAACTCTCATCTTTGGACAAACATTGGTTCAATAAAAAGTGTCAGAATTCTGGGGCCTAGATTTATGTCCCAGAGGATCTGATTAACGTGCTCTGGGTGATATTTTATAATAAGTATTGAGAGTCACTAACTGAGCATAATATCTATCTTCATGATTTGTCAATTGTACTTTAAAATGCCAATTGCCTTTCTCATTAGATCAAATGATTTAATAACAGGTGTTTAGATTATTTTATTATGACCTCAGCACTAGCTACTCATCATCATGATAGTATAAATGAGCAGTTGCTACTTGCTGAAGGAATAGGGGAAAAAATGGCTGACTATAATATACCCTGTGATTTAATATATAAAGAAAGTCTATTCTCTGTGTTACTGCAAAGACCTTAGAGCAGACACACAGAAAATTTAAATGGGGCCTCTTACCTCAGTGACAATAGTGGAGTGGAAGTAGCTTTTGTCATATACCCAGCCGTCCACTCAGGGCTCTGTTTCTGCCTCACTCAGGTTCCAGAAGGTGCTGTTCAGGTGGAGGAGCTGCCATTGGGATGGACAAAGCGCCGGCACTTCTCTGGCCTGAGGTTGGAGTCGAGTGGGATGGAGATTCTCAGGAGGTCCTCCTGGCTGAGGAGCCCAGTGCCATTGTCAGAGAGCGTGTCATTGTCGAGGATGCCCACCCAGCAGCGGTGCTCAGGCACGGCTACTGTGAAGTTCTCTAATAGAACATGAGGATATGCTATAAGAGTAATAATGTAAAAGAAAAGTAGCTGATCTGGAATCTTCCTAGGTCTCCAACATGCTCCAGTAGGACCTCAAAACCCATTGGGAGTGAACAGGAAGTCTCCCCCAAGGGGAATGTAGTGGTGCTATGAGATATATTGAGAGGGGAACACGTTTCCCTCCACTAAGTCCAGCAGTGCTGCACTTGTCCCAACTCACTGTCTTCTCATTGGGCCCTGTCTCACCACTCTACGCCTGGGGAAGGAATTTCCTGGTCCTGTGGGTTTGGGCAGCTAGATGGCTTTAATAGTTGCTAGAAGAGACTTTTTGTTGTTGGTTTCAAGGAATGACTGTGATCTTTGCACTTCTTGAGGAGCTGAGTGATTTTATAATCTAAAGGCATGTGTAAAATGTTTTCTTTTTTTCTCTTCTTCAGAAGAGGGACATTGGACACCCAGAAATTAACTGGTTTATTATATTTCTGTGCAAAAAACAGAGCAGAGTGGAATTTTCCCTCAGTTAATGAAAGATGTGGTTAGTTAGATGTAAAGCAAAGTGGAACGGTGAATATTAATGCTGACTTTTGGTTAGCGTTTAAATTATTCTAGTGATGGTGCTTTTATAACAATTGAAATAGGGAAAAAAGAATAGAGAAAGGGAGGAAGCAAATAATGTATTTGTGTGTATGCTGGTCCTGGGGCTTGAACTCAAGGCGTGGGAGCTCTCCTTGAGCTTCTTTTGTTCAAGGCCAGCATTCTACCACTTGGGCCACAGCTCCATTTTTTGCATTTCAATGGTTAGTTGCATATGAGTGCCACAGATTGGGCTGGGAAGGTGGCTCAGTGGTAGAGTGCTTGCCTTGCATGCATGAGGCCCTGGATTTGATTCTTCAGCACCACATAAGCAGAAAAGGCTAGAAGTGGTACTATGGCTCAAGTGGTAGAGTGCTCATCTTGAGCTAAGAGCTGAGGGACATCGCCCAGGCCCAGAGTTCAGGCCCCAAGACCAAGAAAAAAAAAAGAAAAGAAAAGAAAAAATACCATAGGTATTCCTGATGGAGTTGCCAGTGAAGTCAGATAACATCCCCCTGACCAGCTAGGATTACAAGCATGAGCCAGTGATGCTTCACACCACTTCTTCTCCTCCTCCTCTGCCCTCTTTTCTGTTTCTCCTCCTCTTCCTCCTCCTCCTCTTCTTCCTCCTCCTGCTCTTCCTCCTTCTGTTCCCCCTCCTCCTCCTGCTCCTTTTTTTCTTTTTCTTTTATTTTCTGCTGCTGAGTGGCTTTAATGTTTTTTTTACACAACCTCTGGGGAAGTTCATTTGTATTTCTCTAAATGGAACACTTTTCTTTGGAAAACAAGCCCTGTGGAGATCCATCAAGTTGTGTCAGCCTAACACATATTTCTAGAGGACTAGCACATGCAGCATTAACTACAAGGGATGGAAAACTAATTGGACCCCCTCTGATGAAACTCAAGCCATTTCAACAAAAACATTTCTTTAAACATCAAGGTAATGTGTCAGAACACATCAATGACAAAAGATTTGGTCTGCTAAGGAATCTGGCTTAATAGCTAAACAATTGAGACCATAAACCGGTCACGTTAGAGCTTACAACAAACATCTTCACCTGTCCAAACCAAGGTGAAACTAGAAAAAAGCGTTACTAATCTGCTTCACCTACGGTGTCACAGTATCACAAGTAGAAAGAAATCTTATCCTCCCCTTTAAGTAGTTGTCATGCTATACAGACTTTTAAAATGTTAACAAAAATAAACAAAATCCTGGGGATATTATCAGAGGGAATGAAGGTGAGGTGTGGAGCTCACCGGGCCTAGTCCACTTCCTCCATGCGTGATGTGTCATCATCTCCTTCCAGGGGCGGCATCTCTACTGCCAGAACCGCACTGGAGTCATCGCTGCTCCTCTTTTTCTTCTTTCTCCTCCTCCTTTTCTTACTCTTCCTCCTCTTCCTCTTCCTCTGTCTTCTTCCCTTTTTTTATGGATCATGGGGCTTGAACTCATCACCTACGAATATATATGAGAAAATGTCCATCCATGAAATAATATAAGTAAATATAATTAAGTAAATCTAAGAAGTGAGATTAAAATAAAAGCATCCAAGTGTGGTGTCTCACACCCATAATCCTAACTACTCAGGATGGGGATATGGAGAGGATGATGGTCCAAGGCTAGTCTAGGCTAAGCTCATGAGATCTCACCATGACTAGTAAGAGTTGGGTGTGGCGGTGTGTGTCTATCCTCCCAGCTAGGTGGGAACACATATGTGAGCATCATGGTCCACAGGAGGCTCCATTAGACATATTTATGAAGGCAAAATGTCTGGAGATGAGGCTCAAGCAGTACAACACCTGACAGTTCAAACTCTAATATCACCAAAAAAAAGCAGAATAGAAATAAACATAAAGGGTGGGGGGAGATGGTGGTTTGGAGACATCCTACATTGCCCTGCATCTTTAAAAATCTGAAACAAATCAGATGAGGACAGTAGTTAGTGTACAGAAGCTAGATGAATCCAGAATTAAGAATTTTAGTTTCATGAAAGTGTCAATGGAACCTAACATAGGACTCTAGGCAAAAATGTACAGAAAGGAGTAAAATTACCTCCCTGGTGTGTGTGTGTGTGTGTGTGTGTGCGTGTGTGCGTGTGTGTGTACATGTACATATGTGTGTGTGTTTGCATACATGGTCACACATACTCCAGTGCTGGGGCTAGGGTCCTGGGCCAGTAAGCTTTCCTTCAGCTATCTGCCTCAAGGCTGATCCTCTACTGCTTGAACCATGGCTGCACTTGCAAGTGTGTTTTTGAGTAAGACTCTCACAGAATTTTCTGCCTGTGCTGGTTTCAAGCCATGATCCTCAGACTTGAGCATCCAGAGTAGCTGATGTGAGAAAAACTCTCTTTTCTATCGAAGTGTATTGCTTATAAATTCCTGCCTTGGTGTGGTGGCTTGGCTCCTGTTAAGGAAAAGAAGAACTGATCTGGGATGAGAAAGGACTGTTGAAATGTAAGGTTTTGTCTTTAAACAGTTCTTTTTTCTTTTCAAGATGGAATTATGCCACACTCCAGACTATTCAAGATATAGCAGAGGGTGTGGACATACTTTATGATTACTTGTGTACTGTTAATCTTATTTCTAAGTCACCTTATATAAATACATTGTACACTATGAAACTAGCCAGTAGGGAGCAGATTATGTTCCTGAGCTCAGCTATTCTGAGCAGAGAGGCAGGATCTCTGCATGCCGTGGACTGGCTCTGTCGGGACAATGGAGGACACCTAGTGGAGGAACTGGAATAGGTGGGGAGATGGCAAACAGACAACTCACACACAAGAGGACTGGATGCTGAGTGCGATTTAATGCAGAGGATAACAAGCTTTTATATCAAAAGTCTCCATGAGAAAGGGCAAAAGGTTACACAATCTTGCTCCAAGGCTTCGTTCTTGGGTGGTCACCAGCTGGTCGCCTGATCTTGTTTTTTGGATGACGAGCTATCACGATAGGCACTTGTTTTTGGCTTTAACTCTATTTTTAAGAAATACAATGGGTTTTGATGTTTATCACCTATTAACCATTAACCAGAACATATGGGCAAGGTGCTGAACAGAAAGGCATGAACTCTAGTACTTCATAGTTCCTTTTGTTTAGTTTTGTACTTTATACGTTTTAAATCTTTTTTAAGCAATTGTGCTTAGAGGGTTCCCAATTTGTGGCCAAAAATCATGATATTCAGTATACTTAGTTAAATCTGGCCATATATCAAATTTAAGCTCATAGTGTCTTTTCTGTAACCCTTTCACATAATCGTTTACTCTTTTCTATAGAGGCCTTAACTGTCTCATAAGATCTTTCTTGTTCCTTCTTTAATAGTAAACACCAAGGAGGCCTAGATCTAGCAAGTCTCTCAGTAAATGAAAGAGAGTAACAGGAAGTTTTTTCTCCTAAGTAGTTTACCCAACAGTTGCCATCCTTATTATACACACCTGTAACAGGCTATGGATCTGGGAGAAGTCTCTGGGGTCCTCTAGATAATTTTCCTCTGATAAGCCATTGCCATGTTTTATCTACCAACCTTTTTAGGAATCTTATTTAGCTTTTGGTCTAAATATCCCTCTACATCTTTCTTACCTACAGGATATCTATATGAGTCTATTGTATATGCTTTAGGATTAAAGGAAAGTCTCCAGTAGCCATACACTCTTTCTGCTCTAGCCGTGCCTACAGCTTCTTGTAAATCTCTTACAATCAATTCCTTCTGCTGAAGTGATGTCATGAAAACCCCAATACTTTTATATTTACTTATGACTTGTCTACTAGCCTCCATAAGAGGGGCTTTCAGGGTAGCACTTAACTCTGGTGAGTTAGTCATATTCTCAGGACACTCATGTTGGAGTCGTCATCACTTTTAAGAAAGAGCCTTGAATAAGGGAACGTTGAGCATGAGTAAGTACAATAATTAGCAGGAACAGTAAAAGATTAATAGGCGCTCCTATACAGGGAAGAAAAGAAAAACAGCAACACATCTTTCCCAGGGGCTTGCCAGCCTTTTCCAGGAGGTAGTCCTCTTTGAAGCCCCATTCTCAGATCTGAAAGCAGGTTTCCCATGCTAAGCAGACTCTACCGGAGTAGGCATGGCATCTGAATTAGGAGTAAACATCAGAGCAGCCTGCCTGCTCTGTGTGCTTGCTTGCCTGATTTTGGCCAGTGGCTCACCCTTCTACACAGAAGTAAATTTCACCATGTGGAGCAGTTCTTTTTTTTTGTGCTTATTGTTATGACCCCTGTGATTCTTAGAGAGCATATTTATTACACTAAGATTGCAGATGTGAGACACTGGGACCCAGTTTCATGGGCTTTTCTGCCTTTGCTAGTTTCAAAGTACAGGTTATTTTTGTTGTTGTTATTGTTGTTGTTTGTTTGTTTTTGCCAGTCTTGGCCTTAGACTTTGGGGCTGAGTGCTTTTTTGGGGCTCTTTTTGTTCAAGACTAGTGCTCTACCCTTTGAGCCATAGTGCCACTTTTGGCTTTTTCTGTAATTAATTGGAGGTAAGAGTCTCATGGACTTTCCTGCCCTTCCTTGGCTAGCTTCAAACTGTCATGCTCAGATCTCAGCCTGGTGAGTAGCTAGGATTACAGGCACAAGCCACCAGCACCTGGCCTGAACTAGTCTTACAGATCTCAACCTCCTGACTGTGTGTGTGTGTGTGTGTGTTGTGTGTGTGTAGTATGTGTATCTATGTGTGTGAGGAAGATACAGAAATAATAAAATTCACCCCTATGGACATTTATCAGAAAGATAAGAAATGTGGATAGAGGAGAGGAAGACAAGAAAAAAATGGTGGTAGGTGTTAGGTTTTTAAAGAGGATTCTGAGTAAGAACAACACCATGCATGTTGTATTCAGGTAAGGGGTAGGTTTATTCATTGTTCTGGCTGGCACCAGGCCGTGTTGGCACTTCTCACGGCTGGCTAGTGTGAATTGCAGATGTCTGGCTAAATGGATAGAGCTAGGAGGGCCTTTAAATGGATAGAGCTAGGAGGGCCTTGCTTTGGGGAATGTGTAGATTCACTGTGTTGTTTAGCCCCAGGGGAGCCCTCTTCCTTGTGCTGTGTTTATGTATAATGCTTTACGAAGGCCTTGTCTCCACTGTAACAGAGCTTGGTGCAAGTTCTGTCCTGGGTAACAGGTCTTTGTAACAATTGGCCACCTGCAGACCTCTAGAGCTCCAATAAAGACTCCTAATCTTGACCTCTGTATTTTCTTATGACTAGATTTATATCTGATTTAAGGTACAATATTACAAACACCATAAATTTCATTTTCCTTGTGACTAAGTAATATTCCATAATATGTTTCTACAATTTATATTACTTAATCTATTAAGCACCTCGGCAGATTGGGAATTAGGATAATTTAAGGAAACTGAAGCATGGTGAAGGCAACCGAGATGTGGTATTTAGAACCATAGAAGTGACATCTTTGCTTCAAAGAGGGACATCCTTGAAGGATGCATTCCTCACCCCAAGAATGAACTCTTGTCTGACTGGACTATTCCTTCCTGAGAAAAACTGCTTCCCCAAACGTAAGCCGCTTCCTGCCCCCAAATGCTGATAGTGGGGCACCTCCTTGAGCCAAGGATAAAGATCTGTTTTATGGCAGGTTGCATTTTACCTGGAAACTCAGAAAGCAACAACAGGTGTGATTAGAGCAAAGACAAATCACTGTCTTTACATAACTTTGAAGGCAGATCCCCTGCCTTTACCCTGTAAATACCCCAACAGCCCAAGGAGCTGGGTGTTTCTCTGTGTCTCCTTCTGTGTGTGTGCTCTCCCTCTGGTCTGTGTCTCGCTACATGTTTATCTTGCGTGTGTCTCTATAACCCTGTAAAAACAAGCATCCTCTGCTAGAGTGTGCTCTTGCCCTTCTGTTTGTTTTTTGTCTGTCAGTCTGTTTGCCTGTTTGTTTATTTATTCAATAAAGTTGTGCCAAGTTTTCTTACTGTTAGTTAAATGAGCTTCCTTCCCACTCCTTCGATTCTCACAGCTTAGCATGCTCCCTTCCCAGGCAACACGAGGCCCATATAGTAAAGGCAGGAAATAATCAACTTCCAACCCCCTTTACCTTGGGATGGCAGTTCTCTGCGGCATCTACCACCACAGAGGGCAACAAAGGCCCCTTAGAGTGACCTTCAGGTGAGGGCAGCTGCAGGACCCTGCATCTACTATTTGGACAGCAGCCATAAATCCTAGTCAGCCATGGTGAAACCCCTGGCCCTCACGTCCACACCAGGGACTCTGCCTCCTAGCCCCTTCTAGTCCCTCCTAAACCTCCTAGGTTATATAGGCCACCCCAGACAATAGCCAGTGCTTCTTCTCACTTCTCTCTGTGAGAAGGAGTCTTGATAGTCCCCTTTCCTGGCAATAAACCTTTCTTTATTCTCTGTACTTTGATGTGTGTATGGTTCTCTGGCAAAGTCTAATAACCTTTCAGATAAACTTTCACTTACCATTCTGACTTGTCCAGAAATTCTAATTCTGCGATCAAAGTCAAGGACCCTAAGTGAAGAGTTCCTACATTAAAAGGGAAGCTTCACCAAACCTCATCTCCGACTATTGAGAATTCCAGTTTGGCTTTGTGAGTATAATAATCCTTCACAACCACCCCTGGGGACCATGTGGACTCAAGCAGGCACAGTAGAAAGATGGTTATAAGGTTTATTAGAGGGACCGTATTTCCCAGGAGAAGGGGCAGAGGACATCTGCTCGTATGCAAGTGGAAGGTAATGGGGGAGGCGTGTGTGTGTGTGTGTGTGTGTGTGTGTGTGTGTGTGTGTGTGTGTGTGTGTGTGTAGGTTGGTCTGGGTGGAGAAAGGGAGTGGCCAGCTGTCTGGCAGTAACTCTAGGGCAGGGAGGAGTTCAAGACTGGTTGGAACTAAGGAACGGAGGTGGGGATAATACAGCTACAATAAACATGGATATATATATGTATACAGGTATCGCTTGTATATTGATTTGGAGGTCTTTGTATATGTGCCCAAGAATAGTTAGCATGTTCATAAGTTCCATTTATAGTTTGTTGGGGAATCTCTGCACTGATTTCCATAGTGATCACACTTGTTTACAGTCCCACTAACAGCATAGGAGAGTTTGCCCTCCTCCCCATCCTCATCAGCAATGATTGTCTGTCTTCTTGATGTTTTCAAACCCACTGGAGTGAGAATCTTGGTGTAATTTTTGAATTGCATTTCTTTTCTGACTGAGGACTTTGAAACATACATTATTCTGAAAATTATTTGTTCAGTTTACTTGTTCATTTATAAATTGCATTATTTGTTCCTTTACTTTATATATTTTTGAGTTCTTTGTGTCACCAGAGGGAGGTCAGGGTTAGTGAAGTTTCCCTTTAAATGTAGGAATGCTTCACTTAGGACCTTTGACCTTGAATGCAGAATAAAAATTTCTGGACAAGTCACCAAGAAAACTTGGCACAGCTTTACTGAGTAATTATGGAAGCAGGCAAGTAGACAGACAGAAAAGAGACAGGCAGACAAACAGAAAGGCAAGGGCACATTCTGTTAGACTGTGCATGCTCTCACAGGGAGAGAATGAGACAAACATGGAGAGAAAGAGCCAGAGCCAGACGCAGAGAGACAAGGACACCCAGAGAGACACACAGAGACACACTCACGTAGAGAGAGACACACACAGCTCCATGGGCTGTTGGGCCATTTATAGGGTAAAGGCAGATTCTGGCTTCAAAGTTATGGTTTTACTTTCTGAGTTTGCAGGTAAGACTGCATCCTGAGTTAAGGAGGTCCTTGCTATCTGCATTTTGAGGCAGGGGGTGGCTTACATTTGGAGAAGCACTTTTCTCAGGAAGGCATAGATCCTGTCAGACAAGTGTTCATTCTTGGGGTAAGGAATGCATCCCTCAAGAAGGGAGGTATTTCCCTCTGAAGCAAAGATGGTACTTCTGTGTTTTAAATTCCATATTTCTGAGTTGCCTTCACCAGGACTCAGTTTCCTTAAGTTATCCTGTCTCATTTTCCCCTAAATGACTTTCTTCCCTTAATTTTAAGGGAACTACATGAAGGCATATCTCCTGTATTTGCTGTTAGCTGACCATCATTTTTCCTGAGTCTATTCTGCTTTATTGGTATAATCTGGATATGGTATCTTTATGTATTTCATAGCTGGTCAAGACTTTCTCCCATTCTGTCAGTTGTCTCTTGTGTGTTGTAAACACAATGTGCAAGGTGTTTGGTACTTTGGTTTTTGTTGGGCTTTTTTTTTTTTTTTTTTAAATGATACTGTTTAACTTTATTTATTTTTAGTCTTTCATGGTGCTTGAACTCTGGGCTTGGGCGCTGTCCCTGCCCTCTTCAGCTCAAAGTGAGCACTCTACCACATGAGCCACAGCGCCACTTCTTTGTTGGGCTTTTATTGTAGTGCATTTTGAAATCATGACCTCATACTTGCCATGCAAGCTCTCTACCACATGAACCACACTCCTAGATATTTTTCTTTCTTTATTTTCTAAATAAGGTCTCACATGTATGCCCCAGCCAGCGTAAACCCCAGTCGTTTTAATACTTCCCGTTCTTCTGGATGACAGCATATGACAGCATGCACAACTATGCCTATCTTTTGGTAGTTATGTTAAGGTCTTTACAAACTTTTGCTTGGGCTGACCTCAATGTCTGCACTGATTTCCATAGTGAGTGCACTAGTCTACAGTCCCACTAATAGCACAGGAGAGTTCCTCTCCATCCACATCCTCATCAGCATTGGTTGTTTGTCTTCTGGATGATTTTATCCCTACTGGAGTGAGCCCTATTTTGGGCTTGTTTGTATCAACTCTCCCGAATTCCTTAAAATTGTGTGATTTTCACGGAAATATCTTCCTTCTTTACTTTTCTTGAACCAGTTTTGCTGTAAAGTAAAAAAATCCAAACAAAAACAAAATCAGAAAACAAAGAAGATGTAGATTAAGCACATAATTCCTGCATGCCTGAGGACAGTCTCTGCCTGGCACCTTTGTGACCCAATATTAGA